TAGAATAAGGCTTCGGGGTATATTGTACTATGACTCTAATAAGAAACACCAAAATACTATAGGTAATTGTTGACGCCCCTATAGTATGATGAGAGAAAATGGTCAACACACCGAGTAGCAATTGGCATGTTTAGTAAAGGGTGATGACGATGACGGCGATGACGATGCTGATTACCACGGGCTTGGATATGATTCTGATGATGGACTGTGACGGTTGTTGCTGTCCGAACGAAATTCGTAACGTCATCGTTCGCGTGGCCGTGTTTGTTCACGTTCGTCTGTGAAGTTAGGAAATGACAGATGGACAAGATCCTGCATTACCGTGGGTCAAAAATGAGATCTGTGAAACCACTCTGAAACCCCAACTCAAAACTACAGCACCCTTCCCTAAAACGCAAAGCCTATACCCTACGCTCGTAATCCCAAGCTCATGCGGGGATCCGATGCAACCTGTACCCCGAAGCCCTAAAACCCTAAAGCCCTACAAACCTAAAGTCGTGAACCAAGCCTTCCGGACCCTAAGGCCCTAAACCAAGTGTTCCGGTCCCAAAAATAAACCGTCCAGTACATGGACTCTCGGCAAAAGGCCTTCCAGTATCCTAGGGGACCTAAAGGGTAGCCTGTGGAAGGTTAAACGTTACAACCCCGAAACCCAAAACCTTATGAGCTCTACTAAGTAGCAAGGCCTTCTGGTTCGGATTGTACCGATCGGTGACTTCTGCGAGCTCCTCTTTGCCGTGGCGAAGGTGCTCTCTCTCTCTCTCTCTCTCTCTATTTAGGATTTAGGGTTTTGGGTTTTTCTCTGTCTTGGGCTTTGGGCTTTGGGTTTAGTGCTTCTCAGTGAGCCCCAAGGATTCACGCTACGAGTCTTCTAGGAGCGCCGGGCGTGTAGGGCCCACCCAAAGAAGATTTAGGGTATGTAATAAGGCTTCAGGACTTGGGGTCATTATGGATTATAAGCTTTTTAGGCATTATCTTGCTTGGAGCCCTTCCAACATGCCGACTACATCCTCTCTACATGAGACCCTTATCGATTCGGGGATTGATCCCAGGCTCCCAGACTTTAAAAGTACCCGACAAACACTTTGAACCAAAGATAGCTAAACCGATGACAGATATTAAGAAAAACAGCTGCTGAAGGAAAAAACGGTTGGGGTTTGCAAAAACAAAGTTAAACATGCTTTGCAGCACAAAAGCCCCCTTACCATGAACATTGAGTACGGCTTCTATATCCCGAACAGCTGTACAGGAGTTGTCCCGAAACTCTAAACCCTAAACCTGTAGGAGTCTTAAGGGTAGGGGGGTTTGAGTTTTAGGGCCCCGGATTCGGAGGTATAGGGTTCGTACCTTGGCTTCCGTTTTGGAGGCTTGGGTCAGCAGTTTAAAGTAAAAAAGTAAAGGCAGAATCCTCATGCCGTTGGGGTAAAATCAAGATATAAGGGATCCCAGCACGAATCATCCTAAATCCATGTTCCAACAGTCCCGGGTTCCGGGTTCCCTACAAGGCTTGGTGGTCTGCATCTTCAGTGATTGTGGGGCTGGACCCTAAACCCTAAACCTTAAGAGATGTTAGATCCGAGAGCCTTCAGGATGCTAGACCCTAAGCCCTGAACTACGCAAAAAAAACTGTGGCAAACAGGCCAAGCGGCAGAACTTTCTAGCAATAGCAAGAAGCAGATAGTGCCCGTTGTTGCAAGAACAAGGGGTTGAGAGATTTCAGTTTTGTTTTGGGTTTTCGCACCGAAACCCAAGTCCCTAAACCTGAAAACCCTAAACCCCAAAAGCCCCAGACAAAACCCTAAGCCCCTTCCGAGTTCCTCGTATCGCGCATCCTCGCCGTCGCCGAAAGCCATGGCGTACCTTGGTGTTTTCTGAGGTTCAGGGCTTTAGGGTTTAGTTTAGGGTTTAGGTTGTAGGGTTTTGACGTTCAGGGCTTTAGGGTTTAGTTTAGGGTTCAGGTTTTAGGGTTTTTTGGGGTTTTGCGGCTCGGGCTTTGTGGTTTACGGTAGGGCTGAGTGGCTACGGCTACGGTTTATAGGGGCGCACACACACAGAGGATGTAGTTCAACAATCCGCTTCGGGGTTGCAGGCTTCTTGCCCTATGCTCCTAAACAGCCTGAACCAACCCCTTAAACCCAACAAAAGCCTGGCAATCAAGCCTTACCGCTAATGAAACGGAACTAGGCCCTAGTAATAATCATAATAACAGCTAAAAGAATAACAATAATAACCATAATCAAACCTAGGAGCGCCCTAATCACGGCACTCACAAACACTAAGAAAACCCTGGTAGAGCTTCCTCGGGCTGCTGTGGAGCACTCCCTTTCGCAGTCTTGTCTATAACTACAGTAACCCCCAAAACATTGGACACCGGGTTAAGGACAACTAGTGCTGGGATTCCCTAAACATGAGGCTATTGGGGTTCCAATTTTTGGCTTTCTACTGTAGATTTTAGAGCGACCAGGGACACAAATATAAACTGCTACCTCATCATGGCTCTTTTGCGTAGCTGGTCCAACAGACAGTATTAAAGGATGGTACTCCAGGCCCAGGTATAGGAGACGATTTAGGCTTCAACTTAGAAACAGCGTAAAAAAAACCCTAAAAGAAGCTCAACACTGCAGGGTTCAGGGGTTGAAAACCCAAAGCCCCGAAATCCTACATGAGAACCCAAATCCCGCGTTAGGGTTTAGGCTTCAGAGTTTTAGGGTTTTGGATGGCTTAGGAACTTCCAGGTGTTGCAAGACATTAAGCGGCAAAAAAGGAATGGCAAGAGCTGAGCACCTCCTTTTGTCGAGAAGCAAGCCTTTAAGGCCCACGGAAAGGCCGCACACAAACTTGTTTGGAAGTTTCAAAAGATACAGGACAAAGGACACCAACATACACCCTACATCACAAGATCCTCATAGTAATAAGGATCCGCACGTTCAAAGAAGCTGTATGCCACCTCTTTTCTGAAACCCCCATGTCGTGCACGGAAAATATCGGCAAACGGCTCAACCGCTCGCCTGACCCAGTGTCGGCTGCCAAAGACAAATATATCCAACAGAACTTTAGTTCTGTCACATGCTTCTATATTACATCACACTACATTGTGTCATTACATATTACCTTTCTTATTCTTACTGTTATTATTATTAGTATTATTACTACTTTGTTACTATTATGATCTATGATTATAACATTGCATTCTAATCAGATATCAAAGTCGAAAAACTTTGCCCTAAAATCTCTCGGACCTCTGGTCTAAGCATTTCAAGGTCCAAGACATGAGGTAAACTTTGTTTAGGGTTTAGGGTTTAGGGATTTTTTGTATGGGGATTGCAGGATTCAGGGTTTCAGGGTTTTGGGGTTTGAGATTTTGGGTTTAAATAAGGTCAAACCCAAACCCTAAATCCTAAACCAGGGTTTGCGGTTCAATATTTTGGGTTTAGGG